TTTTCTCAGTTATGGTGCTCCTCTAACATACGCCTCAGTAGATGTACAAGTATAAAGTGCATCGTTTACCTCGCAGCACATGACGAGTTGGTTGCTGGATCACATGTACCATATCCAGCGGCTTCAGTGTTCAGTTTGTCGTAGCATACTGGGTCAGCGCTATTGGCGCCTAAAATAATTGAAAACAAAAGTAAGGTTCCAAAAAAAAAAAAAAGAGATGCAACTTAGATACTCTGAGTATCGCAGGTACCCAACGGAAGGTCAGCACAGGCAATGCTATTGCTACTCTATTTCTTCCATCGCAAAAAAAAAGACATTTAATAATTTAATACTAGAAGGCATCATGTTATAAAGAACATTTATTTATGATTGTCTTTACTGAAGCTAATGTGTGAACCAAACATAGTTAAATGACTTGTACTTACTAGCTCCCCATAAGTCCTTACACTGAGTTTCAAGAATTTCACTGCACTTTCCAAGATAACAGTGGGACTATTGAAGTAAAGGAGAAAAAGGTTTTTTTAGAAAAAAGATGACTTTGCACAATGATTTTCAACTGAACACATTACATACATTGGAGTGCCGTTTATCTCCACTCTCTGTGTAAGTTGCCCACCGCTGACCATCATCACTGTAGTGTAAGAAGAAGCCAGTTACCCAAGAGTACCAAGTCCCACGTCCTTGTATTAGGACTTTGCTGACAGTTTTGACCTAGAATTGTGAAAATGACAAAAATAGAGACATGGCTTGTCTTTAGTGGCTCGTTTGTTGAGGAAAAGTTTTGCATCCACTTAATACAATAATACAATAATAGAGAGAAGATAATAGTGACTGCATATTATTATCTATGATGCTTGGTATTGAACAGAGTCAGTGTCCTAATGAAGCGAAGGTAGCACATTATGGTACCGGAAATTTTGAGTTTGACCCATAGTAGCTCGGATGCTTAGAGACACATTAGCAGCATGCTGGTTAGAATTATATATTGACTATCGATTCTTTAATGCTTAGCGTATAATACGTATATCGAGTTATGGATGCAGGCAGAAAGTTTGGGGAGTACGTAAAAGTACTCCAGCTTGTTGAGCTAGAGTTCAAAGTGATTAAAGTAACCAGTTCATTTATCACCACAGTTATACTAACCTCTCCGAGATCAACTTGTAAATACTCGCTCTTACTTTTCTCTCCTGCACACCAATATTTTCCCTTTAAATTAAGCCTTGCGTTTTGAGCGGGTTCTCCCTTTCTCGCCGAGGAAGCAGTGATCTGGCTGTCTTTGATTTCACCGTTCTGCATTCCAAGTGGCTCCACACAATCTTTAAATATACAGCATATAACGATACAGATAAGAAAATAGAAATTTATGGTCTACATACCTCTTACATTTCGAGTTTGACGTCCGTATTGTAAGTTACGAACCAAGTTATTTCTGCTTGCATATACAGCCCAAGCGCGAAAGAGCGAGGGCAATAAATTCGAGAGAAAAAAAAGGTTCTTTAACTTACGGACCGAGAAAAGGGGTTAGTAAGTTTCTATTTATTACGTGTACGGGGAAGGGGAAGACTTTATTCAAAGAAAATTTTGAATTAAGCGGGTCCTATAGTGAAATACGGCCCGCTTAATTGACCACTAACGCACGTACTTATTGAAAGATGATAACAATAATGATGATAATAATAATGATGGTTGTGATAATGATAATGATAATAAAATTTAACTGCTAATGTACATGAGGCATGTTTTCCATCGAAGTAAAGCTGTCAAGGGCAAATTGCTAAGTTTACTTAAAGTTACGCGTGATGCAAGGTGATTGAAACATGCCTCCCGTACATTATTAAGTATATTTATTATTAGTATATACTAAAACAGTGGATAGCGTTGAAGGCGCGCTCTGATTGGCNTCAGTGTCGGTGGTTAGCGGTGGATATTTACCTCGCCGCTTCGCGGCTCGGTAAATATCCACCACTAACCACCTTCACTTCGGTGAATAGTTGTTAATTAATATCATTATTATAATTATAATCTTTATTACTACTATATTTTTCGTTCGCAGGCAAAGAAGTTGGCAAAGAATGAACAAGGCAGCTTTTAATCTGGAGCGCTATTGTTTATCAAACACTGGGGACGACAACATTATCTTTTAACAATAGCGGAAAAAGCTCGTCAGTCAAAAATTCATGTGAAATTTTCCCACTTGCTGAACGAACCAACAAGTAACTAGAAACGTTGTTTTTTGGCAGGAAGTGAATCTATCCTCTTGTTTTCCGAGGTGGAAATAATGAAACTAAGGAGGGTACGTGCTTGCTCATTGATCCCCAATAACTATGCACCTCTGTTGTTTCCCATTTGCGAACTCATTGTTTTTCTCACAAGGAAAAAGGAAAATTGTCATGATTGATTAAAGAAAATATACCTTGTTTTCCGAACCACAATTCGAGCCTTTTCACATTGCATCCATTATATATTACCATGTATTTATCCACACCAGGCCATCCTCCGGTAGTGTGTAGACATTTGCTAGACTTAACGTGCTTAAGAGATCGCCCTTTTGAATAGAAAGTGAATAAAATGCAGTATATGCTGGTAGATAACGAATGCAAAAGAAATAATTTTCCCCATAAAGTGAAACTTTGTGGGAAGGACATAAGAAAACTATCGATCTTCTTTTTGACTTACCTGAGGTTCTTTCAAATTTGGAATCTTCAAGTGAACAGGTACTGCTGACGACAATCTTCACACTATTACCTGTGCCGCCATTTTCTGTACAAACCATTTTCCCGCTACAAGTGTGGCGCAGCACCCCATCTGTTCCAAGGGTAAATTGGAAATGGCTCTCCGAGCACAGAACACCTGATGCATATACTATGGGGTCGTTGTCATTTGGAGAGCAATTCTTGCTTCGTGGAGTAAGACAAAGGTTTAAGCCGTAAGACTTCAGAGGTGTCGGTTCTGTCGGAATGGCTGTAAAAAACGAAAAAGAAAAAAAAGAGGTGGTGGTGAAACACATAGAAAGAGTTATTTTATCAGGCAACCAGGGTTATTTTCATTTTTTTTACTAATAAGGCTTTGGAATTCAGGGAGCTTTGCCTTCGATGAAATCGTTTTCACTGCCTCTTGAATATTAATCGGTATCAGATTTTATCATGTCATTACCTTCATCTTTAGAGCAGCCCATGAAGTCAGTTCTTAGACAAGGCCAGCCATTCCAATATGGAGGATTGATACGAAGATATCGAGCGGTGACTTTTGGATTCAAGCCTCTTCTGTTTACACTGTCGAAGTTAGTATTTCCCTGAATCACCTTCAACGACAATAACAATAATGGTTAATTTATAGAAGAAAGATCTGACACCCTAAAAGTCATGAAAACGTAACGCAGAAATCACTCAATTATTCTCCACAAAGCCTTATGTTCAAATCATTTACAAAGAAATAAGCATTTCTTGTCGTCAACCTTTAGAACGTACTGAACACCGATGTGAAAAGGCTACGCTTATAGCAAAGCTGATAATTTTTTTAATGTTTTGCGCCACTTGTTTTCCTTAATCAAGTATGGTTTGAGAAAAGCTACCGGGAGAGCAACTAACGAATGACGGAAGAATCCGGAAATAAAAGCTCATAAATACAGAGACCGCCGTAAATATGGAGTTTACGAATTTCTTTAGAGTTCTGTGGCGAATGCTCAGTTCTTTTTTTATTACTATTATTGGAAACCTTAGAAAACTCGTGGAGCGACAAAAAAAGCAAAGGCTAAAAAATATTACTCTTTCTTGATTTATTGAC